CGGTCGCCTCGAGAGGCGTAAATTTGGCGACTCTCTTGCCCTTGTCGCATTCGTCTATCTCGCCCACCGAGTTACCGTTGAACACTACAAAGGAACGTCCTCTGTGGGTGTTCACTGCTCCGTTGATCAACGTTTTTTCGGGAAATCCGAGTTCTTGCAAGGTCTTCGGCCAACCTGGCCGCAGACTAAATTTCGGATATTGAACCAAGTATACCAAATTATCTACGAACACCACGAGATCGCCGGACGGGGATTGATAGGCGGCGGTCACGCGCGTGTAATTGTCGTGAAGAAAGCTCATGTGATGCGAAAGGGCTAAAGGCCTGTTGTACGTCCTACCGTCAAGATCGATCGACCAAACGTAACGCTTGTACGAGATGTATGTACATGCGATTTTCTAAAATCAATATCCCGTTCACGCGATCAAGGCTACACAGGTCCGGCGATGGCGGCGGCGGCGCCGGCGTCAGATGCGGGGGCTTGTTTGTACTTTTTCACCGTACAAACGTTGAATGTCGGCGATGTCGTTTTGGTCGAGCTTGACCGGATACTGCTGGTCGGGCTGTATCGCAAACATCACCGATGTTTTGCGCCTATTGCGCAACAATCCGAGAGAGTGACCGATCTCGCGCGTCAGCGTGTAATCCAGGGAGAACCTATCCGCGGGATGTTTATTGATGTAAATGTGCCACGGCTCGTCCCCGTCGACGTGCACCTCGGAGACGAACCCCGCTCCGTCCGTCGGGAGAGACGCGTGAGCGAGCACGTTACCGGGACCGTCGAATTTGTCCGAGCAAATTTGTCCGTTTACCTTGGTATTCGTGTTATAGTGACGTAGGCGTCGCCAAGATATCATAATGTCGGCATTCGTTTCGAAGCGTTCGAACGTCAATGCCGAATGCTGTGACCACAGGACGAACGCGGCCCGCACCGTGCTCAGCTCGGTCTCGTCGGCTAAGTGAAAATCCCACGTCAGGTGCGTCTTCGGCCATTTGGATAGACTTGCTTTCGTTCCATGCTTCAGGATATCTCGGAAACCGCATCGCGGCTTC